ATAAATAAAATCTTAAAAAAAAAAAAAATTAAAAACTGAAGTATGGTTTCTACTGAATGTGTACTGCTTTCACACCATCGAAAAGGCAAAAAATTGTTCAGGCGAACCATTATTAAGTCAGGGACTGTCTGTATAGCTGGAATTTTTTACTTACCTTTTTTTAAAATTTGTTTTTATTGTGGTAAAATACACATAATATAAAATTTATCATCTTCACCCTTTTTAAGTGTTCGGTTCAGTGGTATTAAGTACATTCATACTGTTGTGCAAGCATCACCACCTTCCATCCCCAGAACTTTTTTCATTTACAAAACTGAAACTCTGCCCCCATTAAATAATAACTCCCAATTTTCCCTTCCTGAAGCCCCTGGCAACCACCATCCTACTTTCTGTCTCTATGATTTTCACTATTCTTAAAGTACCTTTATAAGTGATATACAATATTTTAATCCTTAAAGCAGCTGTACATTGAATGATTTCCATGTAATCCAATCAATGTATATGACTAAGTAGATGAGTTGAACTGTGTCCTCCCCAAATTCATAAATTGAAGTCTAATCCCTAGTACCTCAAAATGTGACCTTATGTGAAAATAGTCAATACAGTCACTGCAGATATAATTAGTTAAAATGAGGTCCTACTGGAGCAGGGTGGGCCCCTAATCTAACATGACTGGTGTCCCCATAGAACTTAGGACACAGACGCAGGGAGAATGCCATGTGAAGACTGGAGTCATGCTGCCACGAGCCAAGGAACTACCAAAAGTTAGAAGAAAGGCCTGAGACACATCCTTCCCTAGTACCTTCAAAGGGACTATGACCCTGCCCACATGTTGATTTTGGATGTTTGATCTCCAAAGCTGTGAGACAATATATTTCTGTTGTTCTAAGTCACCTAGTTTGTTTTAGCAGCCCTAGGAAACCCTATTTTACAGATAAAGTTGTCAATTTTTAAAGCACATATCACTTTCTGCTCTTTGAGCAATAGAACACACATCTGTGGTAAATTCAGAAGACAGCAACACTATGGCTAGACTCATACCTAGAGATATTAATGGTGTAGTGAAAAGCTTTAGAAATTAAAGATTAAAATATCAGTATTTACCCATAATTAAAACAAGTGAATATATCCTAAAATTTGCCTAGTAGCACTTATATTTTATCATTTGATCTTCAATCTAATTAAAGCTGTATCTTTCTTCTTTATCCAATAAAAATTACTGGTTTGGGCAAACGATCAAGTTTTTCTTCTTTATACTTGATACACTGCTTTTGTTGAAAATACAAGATTTAGCTTAAATGTAAGTAATTTCTAGTCACAGGGCGCCAGGATGGCTCAGTCGGTTAAGCGTCTGCCCTTGGCTCAGGTCATGATCCCAGGGTCCTGGGACTGAGTCCCACATTGGGTTCCCTGCTCAGCGGGGAGCCTTCTTCTCCCTCTCCCTCTGCCCCCTACTCATGCTTGCTCTCCCTCTCTCTAGTGCTTTCTCTCTCTCTCTCTCTAATAAATAAAATCTTAAAAATTTCTAGTCATTTTTGCTGTTCATTTTCTGTTGAAGCTGATTGTTCTACTTCTATCTAGCTTTTTTTCAAGCTGCCGAAACAGTATCTGGAAGCATTAGCCACTATTACTCACTTGCCAAATCCTGAGTTCTGATTTTTGCTTTCTTCTCAAGATGTATAAAAGCACCTGGAAGCCAAAGAAAATGTTCTTCCTGTAATAAGGAAAAATAAAAACAACATTACAGTAAGGATACAGCCCTCACTTGTGCTATATGCCTCTTTGTGCAAATCTATTCAAATGAACCAAGCTATTTTTAAAACATCACCATGGGGCGCCTGGGTGGCTCAGTCATTTAAGTGTCCAATTCTTGGTTTCCACTCAGGTCATGATCTCATGGGTCTTGGGATCTAGCCCCAGGTAGGGCTCTGACCTCAGTCAGAGGTAGGGGTGTGTGTGTGTGTGTGTTCTTGCAAGATTCTTTCCCTCTGCCCCTGCCCCCACCCGCGATCTCTCTGGCTCTCTCCCTCTCTAAAATACTCTTTAAAAAAATCATCATCAAAAACTATTTAAAAGGAATAGTCAGAAAGAAGTTACTCTCTACCTGCACTGGCACTAATTTTATAAAGATATCAAAACTCCTGAATAAGTGGTTCTCAAGTTTTTATGGTACTCTCCTCCCACTAAGAACTTGATGATGCTGTGGTCCCTCTTCTCACAAAAGACCTCTGCTTTAATATAGATGACCACACCCCTCTGTTGTAAGGTAGGAATAATATTCTGTTCCTTTCCTCTGCCCTACATATCTTGTTTCTTCTTCTAGATGAAACTGAAAAAAATACTCCTGACAAAAGAGAAAGGTCTTATTTATAAGGAAGCTATTCTTTACTCGGTATTTCCAGCTTTGCTAAATCAAGGACCAGCAAAGAGCCCACCAGAAATATTCATTCCATTCCTATTATGACATATCAGTGGAACTGCACCCAACTAACATGCCAATTCTAAATAGGCTTCACTAATTCAGAAACCTAGTAACAGGAAACTTTCCAAGGATTTAAGTGAAACACCGAATCAGGGGTTATAAAAATCCAATTTATAAAAAGAAACCCCATATACAAGAACCGAATACAAATGACTTGACAATATTATACTTGGCAACGCCAGCACATTATACAAATTACGTTCTAATAATATTTCCCCAAACTCTTTCTCATTATCTCTATAAACGATAAATAAAAATTGTACACTGGCTGGCTCCCTCAAATCTGGAAAATAACAACGGTGAATTCTGCCGGGACCCACAGTCAGTCGAGATTAATGCGCCATTAAGCAATTACCAGGTCATACAAGGACAAAGATGCTTACTCGGATCTTAAAAGTTTGAGGGGTGGGAGGGGGAAATGAATGAATAGGTAGCAAGACAACGTGAATGATACAAATTAAAATCCCGGGGGAGAACCTATTAAACCAAATCTCAAGGTTAACGGACCAGGGACACAAATTACTCAGGGCCCCAGTAGGCCTCGATTGATACCGGAGACTCAGGCAAAACAGCGAACACGAAGCCGTGAGGTGAGGAATATAAATAAATCAATAAAATAAAGGTATTCTTTAAAAAAATAAACCGCTGGACGACGCAGCGGCTGGCAGATACACACCCACGCGGGTGCAATCACCGGGGAACAAGCCGAAAGCACAAAGGCAGACAAAAAAGGCACTGAGAAGGACAGAGGCGGGTAGAAGACGAAATGTTGGTGCGACACACCCCGGAAGGTTTGTACGGCCGCCCGCGGCAGCTCGGCAGGAAACCCGCGCCAAGCCGAGGCCCGCGCCCGCTGCAGGCAGGGTTCCGCGCGCTCCCGTCCCCCGACCGGGCTGGGCCACGCCACCTCCTGTTAGTTCCCCGTCGACCGCCTTCTCGGCTTACCTCGCACCGACCAGAAGAAGCAGTGGACACTCCAGGGGCCTTTCCGCCCCCGGCCCAACGGCCGGCTCCCACCCGCACGCCTCACTCCGCCATCTTCGCTCTTTCCCAAGTCCACCAACCCTGCGGCAGCCGTTTCCACAAGCTCCGCCTCCGCTTCTGCCGCTGAGTCCCGACTGGTTAACGACTTGCGCAAGCGCATTGTCTTCCCGCTGTGGGCTGGTTGGAATGTACGTCCGTCAATAGTGCTGACCCCACTCTTTCCGATCTTTTTTTTGTGGGATTGGGTCCCAGGGTTGAGGTAACGGGGGAAAAACGTTTTTGTAATTTACTTGTTAGGAATGTAAAATTATTTCCGCGTAGAACCTGTGTCACTTCGTGGAAAGGTAGTCTGGCTAGGCCGCATGACAGTTTTATAAGACACCGTTAGGTTCAACTATACTGCTAATAATTTCATTCTCGGACCGGGAGCTTTTAATCCCGGACATAATACCAAACCTAGGCAGACAGTTTAATAGCTCGTTTGTATCTCATTCTCTCTGACTTGTTTCCATTCGTAAGGGGCGCAAACCTCAGACCGCTGTTTCTAGCTCTGGTCAATACAGGAGAGCAAATTCGTTTCTTTCGTTTAAGGATTCTTCTGGCAAATGTCAGACCGTTATAACTGACGGTTTTGTTGCTTCCTACACTCAGCTGTAGGGCTCTTGGGATCCCTTCTAAAGGGATTATTTCAGGAGAGGCAAGTAGGGTGATTAGAAGTTGCTATTACACGCTGCCAATGGTGGCTCCCAGGTATGAGATGTAGGTCCTCAAACACCAGTAAGGCTCTCAAATGGGCTGCTTCCTAGAAATATGGATTCCTAAGGCTGCACCTCCCTGAGATCCAATTCCCAAAGTCCTCGGATGAAGCTAAGGAGTCTTATTTTTACAGAAGCTAATGATAAAGGGCAACTAAGGGAAAATCTTCACTTAAAATGGGGGAGCCTGCCTTGCTCAGTCAGAAGAGCATACATACTACTCTTGCTCTCAGGGTCGTGATTCAAGTCCCACTTTGGGCGTGGAACCTACTTAAAAAAAAATCATACTTCATGGTGAGCCTTCATACTTTCCCTTTAAGATCAGAAACCAAGCAAGGACACAGGCTCTCTTCACCTCTATTCAACATTGTACTGGAGGGTGTAGTCAGTACAAAAAAGGCAAACAAAAGGCATCCAGATTGGAAGAAACAAAACTGCCTTTATTTGCAGGTGATGTGATCCTCTGTTGAAAATCATAAGGAGCACGCACAGAGCAAAAACAAAAGTACTGGAACTTCTATGTTTAGTGAGGTTGCAGAATACAAGATAAGTATACAAAAATCAATTATTTCTCTACACTAATATAAAAAATGAAATTAACAACTGCATTCATAATAGCATCAAAAAGAATAAAGTACTTAGGAAAAAGTTTAATAAAACAAATCCAAATTTATACACCAAAGATATAAAACATACCGAGAGAAATGAAGATCTAAAGAGACTTTCCATGTTCATGGTTTGTTAGACTCAGTATTAAGATGGCAATTCTCAAATTGATTAGATTCAATGCAATACCTAACAAAATCCTAGCACGTGTGTGGTAGAAATTGACAAGCTGATCCTGAAATGTATAAGGAAATACAAAGGACACAGAATAGCTAAGCCAATTTTGAAAAAAAAAAGTCTGAATTACACTACCCGATTCATAACTGACTACAAAGCTACAGTAATTGAAATAGTATTCACGAGGATAGGCCTATAGAATCAGCGAAACAATTGAGAGTCCAGAAACAAACCCTTACATTTAGGATCAATTTTTGACCAACATGCAAGATAATTCAATGGGAAAAGGATAGTGTCTTCAATCCAGGATATTGGCAGGGTCAATTGATATTTAGTTCAGTTATTAAGATATTAAAATACTTAGACACTTCGCATTTCCCATTTCCCCAGACCCAAGGTTCCCTTCTCCGCCTCCTCTTATACTCAGGACCCCTCCCTCCCATACTTACCCTCTATCCAGCAACTGAAGGGTTTGCTGCCTAGCACAGCAGAAGATCTATCTCTAGGACTCAGCTCCAGCCATACATTCTGATAGATCAGTGCAACACTGGCTAAAAATAACTTTCCATTAGAGATGTATATCTTCCTAGGGCACAGGCAACTAGGAAAGAACCAAAAACAAAACCATAAAACAGTGTGAACTGGGATAATACAGACTGTTTCTCATTTATTTCTCATTTATTTCATCAACAATCATGCCCTTCATGTTAAAAAAGTTTGCAGATGTACCTGTGTGTTCCTAAAAACAAAAACAAATACAAAACAAATACACACACAAAAACAAAAAATAAAAAAATATTTTTTAAAGATTTTATTTATTTGTTTGTTTGTTTGACAGAGAAAGAGCGAGCAAACAAGCAGGGGGAGCAACAGGCAGAGGGAGAGGGAGAAGCAGGCTCCCGCTGAGCAGACGTGGGGCTCGATCCCAGGACCCTGAGATGATGACCTGAGCCAAAAGCAGACGCTGAACTGAGCCACCCAGGCGCCCCCCAAAATAAAAATATACATTTTTAAGATTTTATTTATTTGACAGAGAGAGACTGCAAGAGAGGGAACACACGCAGGGGGAGCAAGAGAGGGAGAAGCAGGCTTCCTGCTGAGCAGGGAACCCAATGCGGGGCTCGATCCCAGGACCGTGGGACCATGACCTGAGCCAAAGGCAGACGCTTAATGACTGAGCCACCCAGGAGCCCCTAAAAAATATTTTTGAAAAATAGTGTTATATATACAGGGAGAACCTACTTATTATGTTATGAACCAATAGGCAGGAATTCTAGATCATCTAGGTAAACCTCTGTTGTAATTTAGGAATTCTCCAAGATTCCTGACAAAAATGGTCATTCAAGATTTTGCTTAAGCAATTCTAGCAACTAAGGGCTAGGGAATGCACTAGTTTTGGCGATATCCTGTTCCTCATTTGAATAATAATTAAGAAATTCTTCCTTAGGAATGCCTGGCTGGCTCAGTTGATGGGAGTATGAGATTCTTGATCTTGGGGTTGTGAGTTCAAGCCCCATGCTGGGGACAGAGATTACTTAAAACTTTTTAAAAAAATCAATTTAATTTAAAAAAAATTCTGGGGTGCCTGGGTAGTTCAGTTGGTTAAGTGTCTTTCAACTCAGGTCATGATCTCACCATTGTGATATTGCATCCCACATTGGGCTCCACACTGGGTGTGGGGCCTGGCTTAAGATTCTCTCCCTCTCCCTCTCCCCCCTACCCCCACCTTAAAACACACACACACACACACACACACACACACACATACACACAGCCTGTTTCTGAAGAGGCTGTCCTGGCTGGCTCATTGGTAGAGCATCTAACTCTTGATCTCGGGGGGTTTTGGGTTCAAGCCCCATGTTGGGTGTAGAGATTACTTAAAAATAAAATCTTAAAAAAAAATGTTTCTAAAGTAATAGTGTGTGTGTGTTTTTTAGGGAGTAAGATTTTCAGAATAAAACACTAAAAATCTGTTTAATGGTGCTTGGTAACTATTATAGCAGACAAGAGAACTTATTTGATTAATTCTTATTTCTGCAACCACATTCAGGTATAGGATATAACAATTCACCTACCTGGTTCAGTTCTTAAATAGACTGCAAAGGGTGGTGGGAAGTGTCAAGACCATGTCTCCAAAGTCTTTCTAGTTTCGAGAAGAGGTCAGAATCTAGTGCTTAGAAGACTGAATAGAGAAGAAAACTGAGTCTTGGCATCTCAAGACCAAATCCTTGATCAGCTTCCACCGCAGGTTAAGATGTCAGGCTAGTTGCTTACTCCATCTTAAAGACATGAGGCTCCTCACTGTGGTCTGCTCCACCCCAGAGCTGGGAAGAAACTGCCTGCAGAACCTCACAAACTTATAGGTAAATCTCCCATCACTCCTTGGTGTAGAGGAAAAGAAACTCTAAATTGAAGTTTCTACTAAGCTAGATGTTAAACAGATCACAGATCTGTATTAGAAAATACCAGCCATCTTTAGTTTGAATCGTTTGTTTACTCAAAGCTCAGTCAAAATGTGAATTTAAGGACCCCTGGTGGCTCAGATGGTTAAGCGTCTACCTTCGGCTCAGGTTGTGATCCCAGGGTCCTGGGATCGAGTCCCACATAGGGTTCCCTGCTCCTTGGGAGCCTGCTTCTCCCTCTGCCTCTCTTTCTCTCTCTCTCTCCTCTCTCATGAATAAAATCTTTTTTTAAAAAATGTGAATTTAGGGAATTTCAGTCCAGTAATGACTTCCTTCCAAGCAGTTCTGCTCTCAGTGTTTGGGAAACAGGATAAATACCTGGTTTATAGTATAAGAAACCCAGTTTGTAAAGATAGTCCTCTCTGAGGCATCTCTGCAATGAATGTTTGCTTTAAATCCTAATCAACACAATTTATTCTAGTATTTTATTTTTAAAGATTTATTTATTTTAGAGAGAGAGCATGAGAGAGTGGGAGAGGGACAGAGGGATGGGGAGAGAGAGAATCTCAGACTCCCCACTGAGTGAGGAGCCTGACACAGGATTTGATCTCACGATCCTGAGATCATGACCTGAGCCAAAATCAAGAGTGGGTTGCTTAACCGACTGAGCCACCCAGGTACCCCATATTCTAGTATTTTACATACAGAACTTGATAACATGATTCTAAAAGCAATTTGAAAAAACAGATGACAGTAAAGACTATTCTGAAAAGAAGAATGAAGGTAAAATAAAGTAATTCAATTACTTGTAGCAGTTTGACATTCATTTCTTTGGAGACATTATCAAAAGCTTTAAGTACATGTCCAAACCTTGACCTAGTAATCCCACTCCTGTAAAATCTTTTCAAAGAGCTATGTGGAGAAAGGTATTCATTGTATCATTAGAACAGATAAAATTGGAAACAATAAACAAGGTAATAATTAAATACTATATCAAGTCTGTAAAATGTAACCATTAATATAAGCTAGGAAGAACAGGTAACATAGGGAAATATTACATTAATTTTTTAATTTATTTTCTTACTGTGTTATGTTAGTCACCATACAGTACATCATTAGTTTTTGATGTAGTCTTCCATGATTCATTGTTTGCATATAACACCCAGTGCTCCATGCAGTACGTGCCCTCCTTAATACCCATCACCGGGCTAAGCCATCCCCCCTCTCTTCCCCTCTAAAACCCTGCTTGTTTCTTGGAGTCCATTAGTCTCTCATGGTTCGTCTCCCCCTCCGATTTCCCCCCCTTCATTTTTCCCTTCCTTCTCCTAATGTCCTCCATGCTATTCCTTATGTTCCACAAATAAGTGAAACCATATGATAATTGACTTTCTCTGCTAATACATTAATTTTTTAAAGCTGATATAATCTTGTGTTATGTTCCATTTATGTTCAAATATGTTATGCATGGATAGACCAAAAAGGAACAAGAGAAATCAAGTTGGTTAAGGGGATTTTCCTCAAACTATATTTAATGCTGTAATATGTTTATAACATTTTTACAGTATTGATTATGTTCTACTTTAGTCACAAGACTGCTGTTCCTTTGGCCATGGCCAGTAACATTCAGTTTTTCCCAAAATGGACCGCTTGGTCCTTCATCTGGTTTCCACTTTCACTGAATCCTAACATTAGACTCAAAGTGAAACAAAGCTTAAACACCATAGCAAGTCATTTGGAATGAATTTTTGAGGCAGACGGATGGGAAAAGAAGAGGGTATCATGTTAGAATTTGTATAGCTGATTCCAGCTATTATTACTGCTTTGAGTCCAGTGGCATGCCCCTAAACCTAAGGCGAGATATTCGCACCTTTACAGATGAATTAGTCACTGAGTCTTTTTTTTTTTTCCCCTTAGGTAGACTCCACACACAGCATGGAGCCCACTGTGGAGCCCAAACTCATGACCCTGAGATCAAGACCCAAGCTGAGATCAAGACTCCCCAAGTCACTGAGTCTTGAAGGTGTGAAAAGCCATGTAATGATAGCTGGGTATAATGTGTCATTGAGGCTGCACATGCTTGAGGGGGTGGATGACTTAATAACAAGCAATAAACACACACCCCATTTTTAGGCCTTTTCTACATTTAAAAAGCCAGGGAGTCAAGAATAGAAATGGAATCCTACCTGGAGTGAGTGGGAAGTGGCCGAGGTAACAAACCTGGGGACTCAGTGCTGGCCCCTAGCCGAATACCCCCACATCACAGGCCCAGGCAGCAGCAGAGCAAACATGCATTTGACAGCACAGACATAAACCTGAGTAAGGGAAACACGGTTTGGGATTTCAAACTTGAAGGAGGGGACTGAGCTTTATAAAATTCTTAAAAAACACTTAGACAAAACTGACCCAAGTTATTTTGTTTTAACCACAAGTATTTATTGATGGATCGAAGAATACAATTTTAATGGAACAATAAGGCACAACCGTGGATTAAAACAGTTTGCTATACAGCCAAAAGGAGGAAAAAGCCGTATCTTAAGGAACTTTACATATGGAAGTCAAGGAGCCTCTGAAGTACCTAACAGATGAGTGTCAGAAAATTCTTCCCTTTTATCCATTTCCTATATTACATCACTTGATCACAAAGTCAGACTGATACTTCATCCAGAATTCCTCAGTCATTTATACTTGAGTCATCCGGCCTGGCCACTCCTGTTTCCCACTCTTCCCAATCCCTTTGCAGTATCTTGTTTTTGTTTTTAAGCAATTCCCTGCCAAAAGTATTCCAAAGCAAGGAAACAAGGCCTTCCAAAGCAAGGAAATAACCAAATGAGCAAGCAAGGAGTCAGAGAAAATCAGCCAAGGGCAGATATATAGACGAAGAGACTCAAAGACAGGAGGACAACAGCCTGATTCACTGAGGTCTACACTAAGCTGGATAGGCAGAGAAGTTGCTCTGGCTCATGCAAAGGCCTGTAAATGCCACCTCAGGTTGTGCCACTGGTGCCAGACTCCTAGTTTCTAAGAGATGAGTAGTGGTTTGCAAGAGGAGCTGGGAAGTCAATGTAACCAGGCAGCTTATGATAATAATACATTCAATGCTTGGGACCTCTTCTAGGAGCGGACTATGGCTTCCAGCATTAACATTTGCCAAGTGTAAAATTCATTGAGAATTTTGTGCAAAACTTCAAGACACTGAGGACAATCTTTAAATCTCTTGGACCGGGATAAGTTAGGCACTTCCGTTAACACTGCTCATCCAACTTGGAAATGTGACGTGAAACACATTCCAGGGCACATAACACTGAGGCATAAGCCATGCTGCAGAAGTTTGGGGATACACCAGGCTTTCAGAGTGCCCGGGCTCCTTGACCAAAAAGCCACGAGAAAGGCCCCAAGCACAACGTCAGGGCAGCCATTGTGGTGGTGATGGTTTCTGAAAACTAAGCAAACCTGCCGGCATATGGCCCTTTTCTGAAGAGTCAACACTGTACTAACAAGAGTAGCCACGTAGTTATGTAAGTTGAGAATCAGAGGCCAGAGGTAGAGCGACCTGGGCAAGCCACGTGGAAGCCTTGGCTCTACACCTCTCACCAAGGCCACCACCTTTCAACAAGAATATCTAACCAATAGCCCTTTGATGACAGAGCAGAGTACAGGGGACCAAGAGATGATCATTCTTTTGAAAGAAGTGTTGGTTATGGAAAAGCTCCTGTAGAGGCAACATCCCAGAGACCCATTTAAGAATAAAGGTAGACAAAAACCGTCAGACCACCACACTATCCTGCCAAGTCAGAAATACGCTTAACAGGCACAGCTTGGGGGGCCAAGTAGAACAGAGGGACTGAAGCTTAATGAAGAGCAGGGAGACTGAAGAACTAAGTGACAGAGAAGTAGGAAGGAAAGGGCATATAAAAAAAGGACGAAGGAGCATGCCGAAGCCTGGCTGGAGGGAAGGCAGCAAGGCTGTCTTCTACATCCAGTGAAAGAGCTTTGCTGGTTGGTTCTCGGCATGGATTGCCTCTCTCACTTTTTCAGACGGGATGGACATGTGGCCTTCAGCAGGGAACCAGGGGAGATGATATTTAGAAATGGAGATAACCGGTGAATGATACTGAACAGAAATAGACTGGGGTACCATTCTGTAATGCCCTGTTTATACACCAAAGGCAAGTTTACGTTGACAGAACATATTTGGGGTTGTCATGCAACAGCAGTAGTACTTTGGGAGAAGGGGAATGATGGGGTGGAAGTGGGGCTGGTGGACAGGAGGACTCTCAAGTTCCAGTTCTTAAATACTAGAAAGCAGGAAACCGTTTGGTCTCAGTCCTTCAGTGAAGAAATCGGATGCTCATTTTCTGTTCTACGTCCACCTTCTCCAAAACCTGGGGGGAAAAACCCCCCCCCAAAACCCAATTATGGTTATGAAGGTCAAAAGAGGAGATACTGGCCCAAGTTCTTATTGGAATGTTTTTCTCCCTCCCTCCTACGCAACAGAATTTTCAAACTTTTTCAAACCAAGAGGTGACAGACTGACCTTAACAAATTCTGTGAAAGATATGGCGCTGTCCCCATCCTGATCAGCCTCCTGGATGGTCCTGTCTGCAATGCTGCCCAGCTGCTCATCTGAGATATTTACTCCAACCATCATGCGTAGCACCTACAGGACCAAAAGCCAGGAATTACAGAAGACTTGGGGGTCAGCGGGACTCTTTTAAAGAAAAAGAAAAAGCCACTTCCACCCTCTTTTCCTTTGATGTCCTCAAATTTAACAGCCAGAAAGCGGAAACCCTTGTCTTCTCATCTAGGCCATTCTAGACAATGATATGAGCAGAACTCTCTGGCAAGGTCACTGGATAGGAAGGCAAAGCTTCACTGGGGAAAGAGTCCTTTGCATTTTGCTCTTCCCATTTTGTTTTTTTTGTAAATTTTTTTTACTGTTTTTTTTTTTTTAAGATTTTATTTATTTCTTTGACAGAGAGAGACAGCGAGAGAGACCACAAGCAGGGGGAGGGGCAGAGGGAGAAGCAGGATTCCTGCCAAGCAGGGAGCCCAATGCGGGGCTCGATCCGAGGACCCTGAGATCATGACCTGAGCCGAGGGCAGATGCTTAACGACTGAGCCACCCAGGCACCCCTTTTTATGTTATGTTAATCACCATACGTTACATCATTAGTTTTTGATGCAGTGATCCATGATCCATTGTTTTCGTATAACACCCAGTGCTCCATGCAGTACATGCCCTCCTTAATACCCATCACCGGGCTAACCCATCGCCCCACCCCTCTCCCCTCTAAAACCCTGTTTGTTTCTCAGAGTCCATAGTCTCTCGTGGTTCGTCTCCCCCTCCGATTTCCCCCCCTTCATTCTTCCCTTCCTGCTATCTTCTTCTTTTTCTTTTTTTTTTTTTAACATATGTTTCAGAGGTACAGGTCTGTGATTCAACAGTCTTACACAATTCACAGTGCTCACCATAGCACATACCCTCCCCAGTGTCTATCACCCAGCCACCCCATCCCTCCCACCCCCCACCACTCCAGCAACCCTCAGTTTGTTTCCTGAGATTAATGCTCTTCCCATTCTTTTTGTCTGGAACATAGATATGATGCTTTGGTGGTAGAGCAGCCATCCCAGGGACTGTGAGATGAAAGTCTTCTGTGTAATGCATGCCAGAGCAAGAATACAGAAGCCTGGTTCCTGGACATCACGTAGGTTCTGTATCAACCCAGATAATCTATCCCCAGACTTCTTGTTGCGTGAGGCAAACTAGTTCCTTATTGGTTTAAGTCACTTTGGCAGGGCTTTCTAGGAATCCCACATGAATGCAGTCCTCTCTGAAGCAGTGCATTAACCCAGCTATTCCTAAAGGACAGCCAAGAAACATAAAGATCTTTGAAGGTTTAAATACTAAACCCTTCTTTTTAGAAAAATAAGCACATTTAAGGGACTGTAGTCAAGAGAATTTAACACTGTTTCACCAAATTTGCTCCACACATAACAAAAAACTCCTCCCCCCAATTCGGCTAACATCTTTAGGGTGTAAATATATTTTGGAAATTATTACTTTAAGCAAAATAAGCAACTGTAGTGATATGACTGTTAGTATGAAATGGGGGACAGGGTGCTTTTGTGATGTCTCACATCACTGTGGTCAGCCACCTCTGCCTTCAGAGGTAAGAGCTGAGCTTTTCCATAGGAGAGAAAGACCTTCTGGCCCAGCAGTTCACAGGCCCCACTCCTTTACATCCTTCTCCAATCTCATGACATGGATTTTTAAAAAGTAAATTATAGGATTTTCTGAAAAGAAAAAAAGAGCTGAAATACTGATTTGCCTCAATACTAGTTATTTCTTTTCACAAATTGATTCTTGAAAATTCAAAGTTGTACATTTGGGGGCACAAAGATAGGCAAATGGAAGGATTAATAAAAAGAGGCAATCTTGGGGCGCCTGGATGGCACAGTCGGTTAAGCGTCTGACTCTTGGTTTCGGCTCAGGTCATGATCTCAAGGTTGTGAGATGGAGACCCACCTCGAGCTCTGTGATCAGCATGGAGTCTGCTTGAGATTCTCCCTCTCCCTCTCCTTCTGCCCCCCCCCCCCTCAAAACAAGAAAAATTTAAAAAGAGGCAATCCTGGCAAAAATACCGAATGGCCAAGCCATTCGCCATCTTCCTTGATTGTGTGTGGCTGACTAGACAAGTCCATCCTCAAATAGCAGCTTCTTCTGATCTCGGTCCAATTATTCTCTGAAGTGTTTTATTTTTAGAATTAGAGAACCGTGTTGAGCCCATGTGCTCTGTGGGGAGAGGAGTGGTGCTGTCTGAAGAATCACTCAACCAGTCTGTTAACGAGGACAAGAGGGTCTAGAAGTGGCTTGATCCAGGTCCCAGCAACCAGTGGCCCTCGCTGTCTGCCATGCCTCTGTACCTAGTCAGCACTCCACAGAGCCACTCAGGGTTCCAGTTGGAAGTTCATCAGCAAATAGGACTTTTATTATTACTACCTTTTTTTAAAAGATTTATTTCTTTGAGAGAGAAAAAGAGAGAGGGAGCACAAGCAGGGGAAGTGGGAGAGGGAGAAGCAGGCTTCCCGCTGAGCAGGGAGCCCCACGCGGGGCTCGATCCCAGGACCCTGGGATCATGAACTGAGCCAAAGGCAGATGCTTAATGACTGAGCCACCCAGGTGCCCCCCTACTTTACCTTTTAGGTGTTATCTTGAAATAGACAAATCTCCCCCAGGAAGTCCTGAATGTATTAGCTTCCTAGAGTCCTCCAGAATCATAAATATTAAAGAAAAGAAAAAAGGAGAACTTTCTCCCCTCTGAACTTGTATTTAAGGAAGTGGGGAAGACAAGAGAAAGGCAATGCTAAGAGGATGAAATGCTAGTCACTGCTAGTAGGAGGACAGGGGATTGTCCTCAGGAGTAACAAAGGACAGTGAGCACTTGGCTCTGTACACCGGCCCAACAAGAGTTCCTTGACTCCTACATCAAGCCCACGGACAGGCGGGACAGCAGCATTCACCTAAGTGTCATCAGAATATACCTGGATATCAATAAACTGATATAACAATAATGGAACTATCTGACTTAGACCATCTTGCATAGTTTAGCTCTGCCAGTCAGCACCTAAAAGACATTAAACTGGCTTTTAAATAGCAGAGACATCTGTCGTTGAGAACTCAATGAGCCATTTCACGTTCCCGCGGGGTCATCCGGCTCTGCCTTATATTTAAAACGGTACTCTGCACCGGCAGGTGTTAAATAAACACTTGCTGAAAGAACAATTCCCGCCCAAAAGGACAAGCAGACAGAGCCCAAACAAGTTGTCCACATGCACGGCAGCTGTCCCACATACCTGTAACAGCTCATCACGGGAAATCTTGTCATCTTTATCCAAGTCATAGAGTCGAAAAGCAACTGGTAGGGGAAAACGAGAAGTTACTGGAAATTAGCAGTGTTTTACCCCTTTGCAAGGAAGTAAATACATAAAGAACACTAGACAGGAAACTGACAAGTAGTTTCTCAAGAGCAACTGACATGACCTCTAGAGCTTTTAAAGACATTATACCATTTAAGAAATTGAAATGCATCTCATAATTGATGACATCTTAACCCTGATAAAATAGGGCCCCTCTTCAGGCAAATCAGAAAACTTAATAAAAAGAAACAACTGGATGTTCTTTTTCTTACCTTAGAATGTTTAAAAAAAACCAAACAAAAAACAAATCTGTAAGTGGTTCTAGACATGAGGTCATCTCACAAAACCCACCAAGTCTACTGTGCACCGCTCAGAGGGAGCCAGGAACAGGAGCCGTGCAGGTGAAGGAGCTGACTACACAAAGTATTGCTTGGGGAAAATGGACATTTTGGCAAATTTCTGCCAAATTTCAAGTAATTGTCTTCCATCTTGGAACTCTGAAAGTAAAGAACGTCACTTTTTTTTTTTAAAGGATTTTATTTTTTAAGAACTTCAATTTTAAATAAAAATGCCAAGAATTTGATGGTTTCCTGGCCTTATCATGTTTCTCACCCTTAAATATATATGTAAGTCTTCCGGAAACTAGGGTACATGAGAGAATTCAGAAGAGCAAAAATCATTCAGACAGGGCCACGTTGCTGAAGAGCTACCAGGTGAGGTGTCATACCACTGGATGATTTTACTGGCAACTGTGAGAAATCGTCACACTGAGGAAGTGACTGCCTTGTAATTATAGTTGAATGGAGTGTGGTTTTGAAGCTCTGAATCACAGTATGCTACTAAGGTTTTTGGGTTTTGGTATGGTGCTGTGAATACTAAAAGGCCAAAATCCACTGTTCTAGTTATTAAGATACAGATTTAGATCTTGTCCTCTGCAGCTCATGATCTAGTAGAGGAGAGCAACATACTTCTCACTTTAATACATTTGCAATGTTATCATACATATGAAATGCTAGAGAACAAAAAGTATGGCAGTTACGCCTTTCTGGTTCAAGGAACATTTAAACATGGTCCTGAAAGACAGAGAAACCTGATGACGGGTGGGATTCTAGGCAGAGCTCATACTAGGCACAAAGGCATTAGAACATGGATGAATATATCTCAGTGTTGAAACCACCCCTTCCCCTGCCAAAAAGGAGTGAGTCCACTAAAAGTTGAAGTAAAAATTTTAGAAAAATTTAACTTACTTGTTGTAAGGTACATATTAGAATTCTAGAGGGGGGGCACCTGGCTGGCTCAGTTGGTATAGCATGTGACTCTTGATCTTGGGGTTGTGAGTTCAAGTCCCACATTGGGTGCAGAGATTATTTAAATAAATAAACTTAAAAAAATTCTAGAGGGGGAAATAACTGGGAGACTTTCACTAATGTTTGTTTTCTTCAATTTGGTTAGTTGGTTAACTTTATCAAATTTGAGAATTTATATGCTTAGGAGGTTTAGATTGCAAAGGAAAGAAGATAAGGATCATTACTATTCCTAATGGAGTATGTGTTTATTTTATTTTAAGATTTTATTTATTTATTTGAAAGAGAGAGCGAGCCCAAGCAGGGAAGACGGGCAGAGGGAGAGGAGAAGCAGACTCCCTGCTGAGCAGGGAGCCTGAAGTGGGGCTCAATTCCAGGACCTGGAGATCATGACCTGAGCCAAAGGCAGATGCCTAACCAAATGAGCCACCCAGGCGCCCTAGTAATATGTGTTTAATACAATTCCTAGAGTGAACACACAGACACACACATACCTGTATATGTTGTCAAGTTTAAAATACATAAAATGTGTTATCTACTAAGCACTCCTCAGGATGATTTCAGAATGGAAATCTGTTTGCTATATAACCCATAAACATCTGTTTCTGAATTTTTTTATTTAAACAACCATTTATTTTCATTTTTTTTAAAGTAACCTCCACGCCCAAAGTGGGACTTGAACTCATGAACCCCAGATCAAGAGTCACATGCTCTACTGACTGAGCCAGCCAGGCGCCCGTTTCTGAATTTTTTAATCAGGTAACTATTATAAACACATCTCCTTCTGCCAAGGTATTTACAGAAGCCTGAACTGCTAATTTTTTTTTTTTTTTAAGATTTATGTATTTATTTTAGGGAGAGAGAGAGAAATCCTTAAGCAGACTCCCTGCTGAGTGTGGAGCCAGACACAGGGCTTGATCCCAGGACCCTGAGATCATGACCTGAGCTGAAATTAAGTCAGATGCTTAACTGACTGAGCCACCTAGGTGCCCCTGAAATAGCTAATTCTTAAAACTCAGCTGCCAAGGACTGAATATTTGTATCCCCCCCAAAATTCCTATTCTGGAACTCTCAATCCCCAATGTGATGCTCTTAGGAGGTGAGGCCTCTGGGAGGTAATTAGGTTTGGATCAGGTCCTGAGGGTGGGGTCGTCATGAGAGAATTAATGCCCTTATAAAAAGAAGAGACAGGAAATTTCTCCTCCTCTCTGTCTGTACCTCCCTCCCCATATGAGGATACAGTAAGAAAAAGGGGGCTCTTCTGGGTGCAGCAGGAGGACCCTCACCAAGAACCTGACTGTGCTGGCACCGTGTTCTCAGACTTCCAGGCTCCAGAAATGTGAGAAACATCTGTTATTTAAGCCACCCAGTCTATGGTGAGCAGAGGAAGATATCAGCAGAGAGGTAAATACAGAGATTACCCGATAGGACCTTTGAAGAAAAACCGCAGCATTAGTAGTTGTTTCTTAACTGACCTGGATTCCTATCAGGCAGTTCTGGCCCTGAACCAGCAAAAACATTTTCCCCAAGATAAACGAATGGTCAAATGCATAAATGACTGAGCCATTTTGTTAACATTTCTCTCTTTACTCTTCTCATCTCTCTTTTATCTCCCCATTCTTGGTCCTATGATTTGGACTCTCCCAATCCAGAGCTATCTTCTTGCATCTCTGTTTCCATGGCTTTAATTAAACGCTTTCCAGTGCTTGTGATTCCCAAACGTGATCTGCTTGTGATTCCCTCTGCTCTGAGCTCCTGACACTGATGTCAAAGCGATATGGTACACTGGTTAAGACCCTGGCTCTGCAGAATTCTGGCTCTGAGGGTTACGAGCTATGTGAACATGAACAAGTTACTTGAACTCTTGGTGCCTCAGTGGTCCAAAAGGGGTAAGCAAAATGAGGGTAACAGAATCCACCTCACAGGGTTGTAAGGACTGAAGGAATTATACACAAAGGGCACTTAATGTTTTTTTTAAAGATTTCATTTATTTATTTGAGAGAGAGAGAATGAGAGAGAGAGCATGAGAGGGGGGAGGGTCAGAGGGAGAAGCATACTCCCTGCTGAGCAGGGAGCCTGATGCGGGACTCGATCCCGGGTCTCCAGGATCATGACCTGAGCCGAAGGCAGTCACTTAACCAACTGAGCCACCCATGTGCCCAAAAAGGGCACTTTAAAGAGTGCTGCACACACAGTAGGAGCTCAATAAATATCACCTACCTTCCGTTACCTCCCTCCCCTCTTTTCACACTACTCACCTCTTTCTTGGTAATGCTTTGTTCTCTGAACATTCCAAGTACTCACTTACCCTGGTTGTTCCTGTGCTCAGAGCTCTCTTCTGTTCTTTGCATGGCTGGCTCATTCTTAGCTCAGAGAGGCTTTCTTTCACTCACAACTCCTTCTAATGCAGTGGCACCCCTCACCACTTTCTCACCTCACCTTATCCTTTTCCTTCACAAGACTTGCCACAATCATAAAGTTTTTCTTCAACTGTCATTTCTTTTTCTTCTTGTTTTTTTTAAGTAGGCTCCACGCCCAGAGTGGAGCCCAACACGGGGCTTGAACTCATGACCCTGAGATCTAGACCTGAGCTGAGATCAAGAGTTGGACACTTAACTGACTGAGCCACCCAGGCACCACCATCTGTCATTTTCCATGTAGTCTGTTTCCCTTATTAGATCGTAAGCTCTATTAAAGCAAAGACCTTATCTGATTTAATGCATCATTGTATCATGGGACTAAATTAGTGCCTGGCATACAGTAGTTGCTCAAACATTTGCTTAATGAAAGACCAAATGAATGATCTCAGTCAAACCTTTACCTTTTCATCACTGATTCCTCTTTAAAAAAAAGGGGGGGGTAAAATATACATAAAATTTACCATTCTGACTCTTTTACAATTACAGTTAAAGTACTTTCACATGGTTGTGTAACCACCACCACCACCAACCATCTCCGGAACTTCTTCATCTTCCCCATGAAACTCTGACCCACTAAACAGCAATTTCCCATTTCCCCCTATCTCTAGTCCCTGACAACTTTCCATGAATTTGGGCTACTCTAGGAACCTCATATAAGAAGAATCAAACAATATTTATCCTTTTGTCTGACTTACTATTTTTTTTAGTATCATCCATGTGCATGTAGCAGAATCTCCTTCTTTGAGGTCAAATACTGTTCTACTGTATGTATATAACGCATTTGGTATATCCTTTCATCTTTCAATGGACATCTGGGTTGCCCCTACCCCTTAGCTGTTGCGAAAAGGCTTTCACTGTTTCTTCTTGGCTACTCTCCCTAACTCTACTTTATAATACTCCTCATCCTCCAAATAAAAGAGCTTCATGCAGACTCCTTATTTCCCACATCACTCATTATGTGTTGTAAAAAACTTCAGGGGCGCCTGGGTGGCTCAGCTGGTTAAGGATCTGCCTTCGCCTCAGGTCGTGGTCATGGGATCCTGGCGGGGGGGGAGTCCCTGCTCAGCACGGAGTCTACTTCTCCCTCTGCCCCTCTCTCCTCTTTCTGCTCACGCTCTTGCCCTCTCTCTCAAATAAATTAAAAAAAAAAACTTTTTTTAATAATGAAGAGGTTTTTTTTTTTTTTAATGATTTTATTATTTGACAGAGACAGAGACAGTGAGAGAGGGAACACAAGCAGGGGGAGTGGGAGAGGGAGAAGCAGGCTCTCCGCCG